AGAATTTATTGACAAATCAGAATAACAGATTTAATGTTACACAATTTAAGTGAATTATTTATATTAGTAATCTAAACATTATCATTATACACAAATATTTTTATTATATAGTTATAGATTTACTATAAAATATTACTAAGCACATAAATATGTTTTAGACATTCTTTGATTTATCTAGAATATTAATTATTATAGCTTCGATGTAAAAGATTCAAATTTAATAAATTTTATTTTAGACACCAAACAATTTTTTAATTGGTGTGATCTTGCGAAAACCAGTAAACTGTATACATAATACATGCAATAAAAATTGATCAAACCCTAAAAATAAATAAAGTGCTTATGGGAGAGCAAAAAATGAGAACAAAAAGAAATACTTAATATTTAGTGGATTCACATGATTAAGTAATGATGGTATAATATAAAATGCATATAAGCAAAAAAATAATAAGAGCAATAAATATTTTTAAATAAAACAATTGCAAAGATAATAGACACTTACTCTATAACCATATATTTTTTTTAACCTATAACTATATTTAAAACTTTAGTTAAAAAAAATAACCAAAAAAAAAAGAATTTAATGTAAGATATAAAATTTTAATCTTTTAGCTCTCTTAATCATGATCTCAAGCACATTGCTGCTTGTATGTTTAATAAGTTGAGATGACCATCTATTCTTCAAAGTATCGAAGTTTAAGTTGTGGATCTAGTACAATTGATGCAATATGCAAAACACTTGTCCTTTAACAATATTCTTGAAGTTTATTAGATGCAGCTTCACACCTTTTCTAAGCCATTCTGGTATATGAACTTTTAGCCTAGCTTCTTCAAGCAATTTAAGCAATAAATAATAAAGGGGAATGACCAATGACAGCATTGGATATTCTGACAATAACATAAATATGGTTGCTAAATTGAATTAAAGAGTAAGATAAACATTTTTGTCTTGTAACATACTGTATATTTATACTATGCTTTTTTTTAAATTATATTCTATGCTTAAATATACTAACTATCCTTAAAGGGTAATAAAACTTTGATAAGAAGTTCTATTTTTTTCCACTCATCCTCGACCAAAATATATTAATATAATTCTGTTTTAGTATAAGACATAGCATTTAACACTGTACGAAGTTTTAATGCACGCTCACATATATAAAAGATAGAATTCCAGCATGTTGCTACGTCAAGAATCGGCTTTAATGTATTAGATAACTTTAACTATTTGTGGTGCCTTCATGATCCTCTAATACTTTTTATTAACTCATATAACTAAAAGTAATATAAGTATAAAAAAAAACAAACATTCTAATACATATCGACACTTTAATCTATTACAAAATATTAAAATTTTAGTATAATGATAATGACCTTTTCTACCTCATTTCCTACAATCTTTAAAATACACTGGACAGCAAGATTTAAAATATGATTAAAGCAGTGTATTGATTGCTAAGTATTATCAAATCTAAAACCAATTGTTTGTATAGAATGAGAAAAATCACACAAAAACTTTATATTGGCAGATGCGTTATTACAAGTTATTGATATTAATTTCAATAATATTCTATTTTTTTGAAGACAATTTTCCATAGCCTTTGCAATTTCAACACCCATATAAGAATCTTCTATAAAAATAAAATCAAGCAAAATATTTTTTATTTCCCATGATTGATTTAGATAATAAATCGTGATAGCCATGAATGACTTTTCATTAGTAGAGATAGTCCAAATATCTGTTGTTATCACGATATATTCAGAAACTTCTTGCAATTTTTCTTGAAGTCGTTCACACTCTCTCTTAAAATCATTCATAATATGTTGTTTAATTAGGTCAGCAGAAGATACTAAAAAAAAAAACTCTAAATATTTATTTTCCCATAATATTAATACATTAAATATACTATCTAATGCTATTTTTACCAACTATAGTAGGTTCTAAGTAAGTAAATATAGACCTAAGTTCATCATCTTCAACAATTTGAAATGATCGATTATGTTTTACAATCCATCTTTTTATCATACTAGTTAATTTTTGTTGGCTGAAGGGTTCACGTTGATGGGCTTGATTACTTATCATTTTCAAAACACTTATATCCTCTTTACATTTGATTCTACTAGTTCAGGCATCTTATTTTTATGCCTTCTGAGATGTTTTAGAAAATTCGATATTGTACCATTGCTATAGACCAGCGAATTTTTACAAATACTACATGTAGCACTGCCTTTTGCTTTTTTAAAATATTTCCATACTATAGATCTATAAAATAAATCAAAAATATAAATTAAAATTTAATTAATAAATTAAATAAATTAAATAAATAAATAAGTCAATAAATAAATAAAGAATATTAATAGTAAAGCTTTTTTGTATATATTACCCTTTATTTGAAGAAGTTTTATCACCAGTTGATCCTGCTTGGGTTGATGATTTGATTGGAAAGGATTCATCTTGTTGCGGTTCATCTTGACAAGATTCATCTTGAGTTGATTCATTTAGGTATAGTTCATCTTGGTCTAGGTGCAAATTACCTGAGTAAAATTCACCATAGTATTGCTCATATTCTTCATATTTATCTTGAGAATGTGATTCAGTTAACATTGAGAAAGTTTAAAGCATAAGATAAAATAAAAGAATAGCTTAATATATGCTGTAATTAAAGGAAAAAAATAAAGCCAATAAAAAAAAAAAAAGACATCTAAATGCCAAGTATTTATTTTTTTAATTTTTTTTTTTAAATACAGGCTTTTTCTTAAAAAAAAAACCATAATAAGAGTAAAAGTTTTTTTTATAGAGGTTTTTACAAGCTTTTTCTTATGCTTTTCTAAAAAAAAAAAAACGCAAGTTTTAAAGTTTTAAAATGCAGGTTTATGTGCTAGCTTTTGCTAAATATAGGTCTCTGCCTTTTTTTTACGTATTGTTATTGTTATTGTTAAATGCATTATGGGTCTTATATTGTTATTTTAGACCCAAATGCAAATGGCATTCTTTGTTCGTTTAGGTTGTTCTAGCTTAATAAAGCTTGGTTTAAAAAAAAAGTCAGCCAATCAGCATACGACATTTAATGAACCGGGCAGATCAGATATTACTCGGGCGGATTTTTATGTAGGTCCGAAACTGTATCGATTCTTACAATTATAGGTCCAAACTCGGTCTGTCAACGGACCAGACTGGACCCGGACCAGACTCAGATCTTTTGCAGAATACTAGTTCCAGGTCCCTCTCCCTACAGTGTTACAGTTTCCGAATCTCTGTATATCAGCAAATTTAATAGGGTATAATATTGTGCAATAATTTATGAAGCGTAAGAAAACTGGAATATTACGTAATAACTTTCGCAATATTGCAAAATATATAATTATGAAATATTACGTAAGATAATTATGCAATTTTATGCAAGAAATAATGCAATTTTACGCAAAATAATTCGAAATAATTCAAAACAGATTAAAAAAAATTAATGTGAACTATAAGCGCAAAATAATTCGAAATAATTCGAATTATATTAAAAATGTTTGAAAAAATTAGAAATAATTTGAATTAAAGAGCTAAAATTTTTAAACGACAATATTCAAGAATGAAACAGATTTAGATAAATTACTATAAACTATAAAAGCAAATTAATTCGAAATAATTCGAATTATATTGAAAATGTTTGAAAAAATTAAAAATAATTGAAATT